TTGAGAGCCTGGCACCTTTTGCCCGCCGGCAGTCGTTAACTTTTAGCGCCCATACTTGGTTCATGCACTTGACACTAGCGTCTTCTCAGCTTAAATACGTAAAGTACTTACTTACTTAAGTACTTGAGTAAGTACTTAAGTACTAAGTACCCAGCGTATTCCTGTGCGGCCAGCACCTCGATGATACTCGATGTCAAGTACCGGCGTGATATTCCACCGTGGACAATATGCCGGAGGGAGTATGCGGGATCATGTACCTACAGGCTACAGCCACAGGCCAGGTTAATTGCAATCCCGGTTGCTTACTTACTTTACTTACAAGTACTTAAGTAAGTAGATGCCTGGGTGCTCAAACAACCAACAGCCCACTACTTACGAAACCGCCCGCCGGGGCGCCGTCATCTCACTTTTGCGCTGCCATCGCTGCCATCACCGCCATCGCCGCCACCGGTCTCACTCATCAGCCGTCACGTCCATGGCCCGCGCCGACTGACCTGACCTGACATCTGGAGTCGACACCTGGACCCTCCCCACCGCAATGACGCGCCCACAGGCACAGGCCCATTGAATGTTGAAGCCGTTGCAGTCCAATCCACCAGTCAAGCCAATGCCTCCAGTCCGGGTTCAATGTTCAGTTGTCGACCCCCGAGGAGTAAGTTACTCCGTACTTAGTTGGCTGCGGTCGCAACCCGCTGGCATCAGACTCCAAACGTCAGGTGTGCAACGCACCAGACACCAGACGCCCTCCTCAACACAAACCACGCAGCCTGCAGACGGTCTGGTAAATAAATGTTCTCGACCGCGCCGCTACGCCACGGCAACTCGGCTACCCGGGGCACTTGGACCAGTCACACCCAGCCATTGCTGCTCACAGCCCAGGCCGGTCTCATCGTGAAATAAAACACCGTCGTATTTGATCCTCTCCATCGACTGGCAACGGCGTGTCCCCGTCGCTGCGAGCAGGCTCGTCAACATGCTGCTCGGCTAGAACCCTTCGTCGCACGCCGGAGCCAGGTCCGCAATGATCGCCAGTCTCGTCCCGACGACACTTCATTTTTGCGCGTGCAGAGAGCCCCGATTGCCTCATATCGGGGGTCCTGATTGGACCGACCCCCACAACCAGTGACGTAAACTTCCCTGCGCAGGGTGGGTGTCTTTTCTCCTTCGACGGGCTTCCACCGTGAGATCACGAGCCCTTGCTCTCGTCAGCTCGTTTATATGCATACATGCGCTGGATAGCATCTGCCTTCCCTGTGAAAAGACCAACGGCGTGGGATGAGGTCTTGTTAAACTTTTCGACCCACTCGCCGGGCTGTCAAACTTTCCGTCATGACAGCCCGGATACCCTAAACTCGCCGAGAGGTAATTGGCTACTCCGTACTCAACGCTGTCAATTAGAAACCTCGAAACAGCCCCCCGGGAAGCAAACCACAGGAGAGTATGGGTTGGGGGAAATCGTCCCAAATAATCGACATTTTCTAACTTGACAGTCCCCTATGCCTGCCACAGGAAAAGCACACACCTGTTGCCCTGCGTCAAAAATACCTACGCACACCTTGTACTTTGTATCAAGTACTGCATGCGTAGCCCAGATCTGGCAGCATCGAAGATGTACATCATCACTGACGATTGCTTGCAGTCCGTTGGATTAAACTCATCTGCCCATGCTGTTCAAGTTGGTATTCCAAGCACAAAGCACGTCACCATAGCAAGGCCATCACTCAGCTGATGATAAAAGGAACCGCCCAAATGTCATCATGTTACGCCATTTGCGTGATTCTATATCTACTCTGGCATAGTCCCTGCTACGCTCATTCACTTCGCCATGTCTATCATTCGTTGCTCATTCATACCCGACCCGGCTTCCATGCCCATCATCTAGTCTACACGCTTCATTTCTCATGCTAATCCCCAAGTCACGACCCTCACAACTCCGTTACCCAAACAACAACTTTTGCACCAGCTGGCCCTGCTTACTGGGTAGCCCTCTTAAGGTTCTTGTCAAGCAGCGACTCGCCAGTCATCTCGTCAGGCTGAGGAAGACCCATGGCTGCAAGAATTGTCGGGGCAACGTCTCCCAGTACGCCGCCCTGCTTCTTCAAGCTCCAGCCCTCGGGAGCATTGGTCATAATGAATGGCACCTTGTTGGTGGTGTGGCTGGTCTTTGGCTTGCCATCAGCAAACTTCATCTCCTCAGCATTGCCGTGATCAGCAGTAACGAAGAGGATGTAGCCCTCCTTCTTGCAGCCCTCAAGAATCTTGCCGATAGCCTTGTCAGTGGCCTCGCAGCCAACAATGGCGGCTTCGTAGACACCAGTGTGGCCAACCATGTCCGGGGGAGCAAAGTTGTTCATGACGAAGGGGAACTGCTGTTCGCCCAAGCGCTTGACCACCTGATCGGCAACGCCATCTGCAGACATTTCCGGGGCCAGATCGTAGGTAGCTACCGACTTGTTGGAGGGCACAAGGTCCTGGTCCTGGTCTCGGGTTTCCAGAGGGAACACCTTCTCAACACCACCGTTGAAGAAGAATGTAACGTGGGCATACTTCTCGGTTTCAGCAACGTGAACCTGCTCCACATTTTGCTTGCCCAACCACTCAGCAAGGACGTTGCCCATGCGCTGGGGTTCGAATGCAACTTCGAAGGGGTAATCGGTCTTGTAGGTAGTCATGGTGACGAGCTTGTTGATCTTGGGGTACTTGAAATCCTCAAGAACAGATCGATCGACATCACCGAGTAGCTGGGTGATTTGTCGAACACGGTCAGAGCGATAGTTGAAGAAGAAGACAGTGTCATCATCTAGGGCGTCAAGGTCAGCACTCTAATATCTGGCAATCAATCGCTTAGACCTAAGCATTTTCTCTTACCCTTGATTCTGGCCTCATCGCCCCCAACAATGATGGGAGTCAGGAACTCGTCCTTGTCCTTGTTTCCGCCGCGCTCGTATCGGGCCTTGACGGTGGCAACAGGGTCCTCGCTGGCCTCGCCCTCGCCGTGGCACATACCCTTCAAGGCAATCTCAACACGCTCCCATCTCTTATCCCGATCCATGGCGAAGTATCGACCGACTACGGTAGCAATCTGGCCTATGCCGACCTCCTTGAGGTAATCAACGAGCTCCTGCATGTAGCCAGCGCCGGACTTGGGGTCGGTATCACGGCCGTCACCAAAGAAGTGAATAAAGACTTTGGGAACCTGATACTTCTTGGCGGCCCTCAGGAGGGCATACAAATGTTCCTGCTTGGAGTGCTGAACCGGCCTCTGTTAGCCCTGTAACGGCAGAACGACGCGGCACCTTGACTTACCACACCGCCATGAGAAACGAGACCGCACAGATGAAGACGACCATTACCGGCAGCGGCACCCTGGAATGTCTTCTTGATGACTTGGTTGTCGTCCAATTCGCCCTTCTTGATGGTCTGATCAATACGAACGACGTCCTGCCAAACGACACGACCGGCTCCAATATTCAAGTGACCGACTTCGGAGTTGCCCATAAGACCATCAGGCAGACCAACTGCCAGGGAAGAGGCGTCCAGCTCGGTGAAACCCTCGGCATTGTTCGAAAGCTCGTCCATCACGGGGGTCTTGGCCGCCGCAATGGCGTCGCCATCCTTGGGAGATTCTTCGGAGGGAATACCCCATCCATCAATGACGACTAACAAAGGAGCGCACGAGCAAAAGAATTAGCCACCCAAGCTCCAGATACACGAGCATATAGCAAATGAAAAGTATATAGTCAAGACTTTTCGAAGCCTTGCCATTGCGAGACTCGGACAGGCTCGATGGCTCGCGGCCAGGTGCCGAGAGAGGAGGAGCGCTTGGGGAAGAAGCTTCACGGCGGGGCAGTGGTTTGAAGAGGTCGGGACGGGACGACGTACTGAGGCAAGCCTTCTGCTCGGTCTTAGACATGGTGAATGCAATTCTTCTATGGCAAGATCGAGAAAAAGAAAGGGTGGCTTTTTGGAGGGGGGGACAAAAGGCTCAATTGGTTCGGAGATGCAGGAGGAGGATGAGTGAATTTGAAGAAAGAGGCTTGCCTTGTATCTGTCTCAGCAAAATGGTGGGGTGTTTGTTGTTTTACATGCAACATCTATGTCATAGGTCGACAGTTGCTTAGCGGGCTATCGAAAATTTCAGGGCTCGAGTGCACTGTAGACGTGCATGCGAGCTACACGCAGCTATACAGTGTACAAACCTGCACGGCACTGGCTTCACTCCTTCCATTTGATGAACCGATTGTCCGATAAGCTCCGCTGACCAGGTACAACAAGCCATGACCGAGTGCCACAGCCAAGCCATCGTTCACAACTCGCATGCCCAAGCTGCGGTCTTGATTCGCTACTCGACCACTTGCGACTTTGCTTTTCGCATCAATTGATCTTTCCACCGCAGAGTAGGCCTTCACCGACAATGGCAGCAGAACGACGCCCGCTCGCTCTGCCACCCAACCTGTCCCCGGACGACCTCGATGCGCTCTCGGAGCTCTCCATAGTCCTAGCCAAGGTCCGGGCCGGCATCCAGTCCTCGAATGGGCTGACAACTGCCACCGGCGTGACGCCCGGTGGTGTCCATACCCACGGGCAGCAGTTGTCATTCAAGGATGTTCCCGGCGCGACTGATGGTTTGAAGCACAAAGTCCAACATGCGCGAGCCCAGGTTCGTGCCTTGCCGGACATGGACCGCTCCGTCGAGGAACAAAACCGCGAGATAAAGGATCTACAAGCTCGGATTGAGAAGCAGCGCGCACTACTGGAAACTCTGCGTGAGGGAGGCGTCACGTTCGGCAAGAGGGATCGTGCTGCTAGCGATGATAAAATGGAGATTTGATGCTTGGGAACTGGCTACCAAGTCTGCTGAAGAAGGGGCAGCATTGGTAACGGGATGAGACGAATGTGTCTTATGGCAAAGCGAATGGCGTTTACGGTCATGGGTATATGATTTGGATTGATTGGGTTCACAACTATTCTGTCTGGCGAAAACAACTCGCTTTCAGCGTTTACTGGCGAGGTATACCAACCTTTTTCAGCGTTTCTTCAACACTTACACCTGGCTGCCCAGGCACGACATTGGTCCATAATGCCTCATCCAAAGCTTCGGCGTCTGAAAGAGTAGTCCAGTTCGGACTCTGGCCAGCCTTGAGCCATTTGAAGTCATCAACTTGGTCCCACTGGTTCTCCTTTGGCGACTCGCCCTCGATTGACTTGAAACAGGTCAGCATCTGAGGTGTATAAGGGAGGTTTCTGTACAACACACTCACATAACACTTGGGTAGTTGCGCAAACCGCATACCCGTGCAGTCTTCAATTATGGGATGACTAGTACAGTGCAGGTAGATGTCTACATTCTTGCACTCATGAATACGAACCTGCCGTGCTGTAACCACAATAATGCTGTCCGCTACACCTGTAATGTGCACTGGCCCGTTGACGTGGCCAGCAACAATCAGGCTGTTTGAGATGTTCCTCAAAGCCAATCCTGGAAACGGCTTCCCCTGCGCTGTAGGAACGGACATGTCCACAATGCACCACTTCAAATCCGTCAAACTCCCTGACGCAGTAGCCCTTGCCGCGGAAGATGGGAGAATGATGTGCAGATGGGACTGATTAGCAATGCCAATGTTCCTTGCCATAGAGAAGCTTGGCTTCCTAACAAACTGCGTACTAGGCTGAGAGAGCTCGGCGTTGTAGTCGCGTATCGCGGCAACAGAAGGGAGATCACCAACTGTGTCGTCGCTCTCCCTGGCCTCCTGGTGCTTTTCGCCAGAGGAACTTTGCGTGTTTCGAGATAGACTGCCTGGGTGCAAGCGGGGGTCATTTTCCGGCGCGCCCATATCGACATGCGCTCCAATGCTGGAGCGTTTAAACTGGAAACGAGACCTTGGTGTGACCCTGGCCACGGTTTCATTGAGCTTATCAGAGAGGCTCTTGATGTTCTGTTCCAAGTATCAGCTGGATTACCGAATGAGCAAACAAGGGAATGAATATATATAGTCGCTCACATCTGAGTATTGCTTCCGATCATACGAGGGCGTGAACTCTGCCGCGTCAGAAACCTCGTGCTGGAGCTTGCTTATGCCAGCAAGAACATGGTCGATGGCTTCCTGCCGTTCGCCCGCGACGGCGGACACGGCCTCCAACTCATCTATTTGCTCCTGAAGCTCTGCAATACAAGTCATCAGCTTCGCACGGCGTACGGTAGCATGTGAAGCTGCCTTGCGACGGGCTGGGGCTTACCTGCTACGCTGTCCTGGAAATGACGATAGAATTTCTGTTTTGGGTCCATGATCGAATACGAAGACTGCCGGACCACGACAAAATAAAAATCAAAGCTGTCTCGGAATACGCGATCAGACGGGGCTTTAAATGTGTCCCAGTCGCTTTTAAGTGTATTTGCCTAGAACACCATCACAAGGCGGTAACGACGGGCTCCTTATGCCGATGCAAGATAGAAAGCCCAGCCTTCCTCCGTGTGGCCGGACAGCATCAGCGAGATGGAAAGAAGGCCTCCGATGCAGTCTTTCAGCCAGCCTGGTTGTGTTTGGTCGTTCGATGTTCAATTAAAGAACTCCACAATCGGCGCGCGGCACCGACGTGCCCCCATCTCGAATAAAAAGAGGGGGTCCCAAATACCAGGTTTTGGTGTGACGGGCAGGTGCATGTGGGCTAGGAAGGACCTACTTCCAAATTGGGGCTTGGCCTATGGCCGTGCTATTCGATACACGCATGATCTCAGACGCAAGGGACATCAACGAGGCAATCGCTGCACATGTTTGGTCAATTTATCAACCTAACGAGATTCTCGGGTACATGGCATGAGTACTCCGTATGGCAACAGCGATATGCACCACCAATGTCACAATCCGTTCGGACTCTGGTGCCCCGTGTCTAAATTCCCCCGTGTGCAGCGGTGTAAGTCCCAAGTCCTTCTATCCAAACGCTGCCCATCCCTCATATTACCAAAACGCCAATTATTAATATCACGCAATCATGTTGTAATAATGCTGAAAATTATTGTCCAAATTGCCTGGCCGATGCCTTCAAACTTTTCATATCGCTCTTTCCCCCGGGAGTGAGGGTATATATATCCTGTATATCCTCTGCGTTGTGATGTCGTGCAGCATTCCGTCCGCTTCGTGCCGCCGTCTCCAAAAGAAAAAAAAGGTAGTAGATGATACGGAAAGCGCCTTCTATTCTTCCAAATGCTTAAAGAGTCGCATGGGCAATGCCAGTGGGAAGCTCATGCCCACAGTTTACGCCCACGCGGTGGCTGAGAAGGTCGCTCAGAAGATCGTTCAGAAGATCGCGCAGAAGACCGCTCAGAAGACCGCTCAGAAGATCGTTCAGAAGACCGCCCAGAAGGTCGCCCAGAAGATCGCCCAGAAGACCGCTCAGAAGATCGCGCAGAATCTCCAACAGGTCTCACCACCCTCTTTCTCTTTACAATCCTCTTCGAAGTCGGGTTCCTCGCATAGAAACGAGGGCTCAGAAAATCTTGAGATCTCCACTTGGCATACATAGCCAAAACCTCTTCTGGAGCACGAGGTTTCTGCCACTCGGGCATGTCACCAAGACCGCACTGCTTGCCGTCTGGTGTGGTGACGATTATCTTAGGTATTTGAACAGGGGTGTTTTCAACATTATCATCTTTTTTTGGCCTTGCAGATCCCATCTTGCCTTGGGATCTTGATAGGGGGAGCGGGTGTCGTCTCAGAGCCATACTGCAGCTCACCCAGGTCGACGATTTCCACACCCGGGAGACCAGGCTTGGTGTGGACTCTTGGTTGACTCGTAACTTTTGATCCAGTGAGATGGGCGGATTGCAGTGCACAGTATTGTGCCCTTTGGCCAGCTTTTCTTTGCTGAGTTTTGTTCTAACCATCTTGGACGGCTGAAAGGGAGAGAAGTTGTGAGCTGTGAGCCAGGGCTGTGGGTGAAAGTAGTGAAGAAAGTAGAAAATACTGGTGTCAGGATTTCAATGAAGCAAGAGCAGTATATAACATGGGCACTTATACTATTGAAAGGCTGGGTGGATGTGAACTGAAAGTGAGCTAATCGAAAGTTACGCTCGAATGGCTTCGCACCTGCATACTTTAAACACTGAGCTACTAGACTGTAGTGACTCAATAAATAGCACTTGAGCTTGCCGGTGAAACTTTCGAGTTAAAATCCTATTACTTCAACATAGCTACTTCCTAGTAGTGCGCCCTGGCACGCCCGTTCCCCGCCATCCTTTTGGCACCATTCGGCAGTGGCGGTATTATAGGTAGTTGGAAGGTTTTTTTCTGCGGGATTTCGGTGTTCACAGCACGCCACATGTCCCAAATCGTTGCTCGTCTTGCTGGTAGCATGCTGTACTGCAAACTATACAGATTTTTGCGATTGATAGGTGGGACAAACTGCCCAGTGAGGAGGCACAGTAGGACGCGCGGCGAGAGATAGTGTTTCCGAATGCGATGGGCCATCTGGGCGTATTGGTGGAACATGGCACTGAAACTCAGAGGTATTGACTGTGATTTCAATTGTTGGCAAGATATACGTGCGGGTTGATATTTGGCCATCTGGCGCCGGCTCACCTTGAGGTAAATGATCGACGTGGGGGTTTCATTAATAGTATTAGTGTCTGTGACTCTATAATCTTGGGTATCTCGAAGCTCGAAACGAATGCCGCCTGCGAATGTTAGCTGCCGAACTGTAGGAGATGCAAAGTCTACAGTAGAATACACACCGGGTAGCCTTTTTACGTCCTTTATACGCAGCATCAAAGCGAATAACGGAAAGTGGTTCAGACACGAAAGCAGAGTATCAAATCCCGCCTTCATAGATATTATGACCATTCGTGCAATAGCAAAGTTTAGGTAGAATACAACCACGGTGGGCAAAAGAAAGAAGAGAAGCGTGAATAAAATCGTGCCAACAAGCAGCTGGTCAAGGTCATAGTCGCATGAGTCAATACGGTTACGAAGCACATTTTGCTTCTTGCCTCGAAATAGGTGGAAGAGTGATTGGAGAATCGTCAGCTGCCAGTGGTAGATGCGGGCTGATGCGAGGTAGAATGAATAGATGTGAACTGTCAGGAGGGACAGCAGATCCGAAAACAGCGCAGTTGGCATGCTGGCGCCTGCAAAGGACGTGAATCCGATGAACCATACGATATTTGGTAGTGCTGGGTTTAGGGTTTCTATGCAGCCTGAACATGTGGTTAGCCATCTGTAGCGTTTTTTCTCTCCAAATTTGGAATTTCTTAAACCAAAGGATACCGTATCGTGGAGACATACTTGACCAGTAGTCAATAACCCACAGAAACAAGTCACCCAAAAACACTGCCAGCTCGCCATTGAGTTTCAAACCAGCTGGGTAGTCCATCAACCACGAGATGCTGCTTTGAAGAGCCTCCACGGTGTACGTCCTCAACAGGTCTCCAATTTGCGCGGCAACCCAGTCGGCATGCTCAATCACGTAGGAGCCAAGAGCTATGCCAATGATTACGTCGTTGGCAACGAGCCAAAGGCTGTTGTAAAATCGGATATAATCGGGATGGCTGGTAGTGATACTCGCCCAATTCGCCTTTCTCTGCCGCAGCTTCGAGTACTGCATGGGCCAATAACAAAATTGTTGGAGTCGAATTTCTATCTGCTGTGCGGTGGCCGATATATCCTTCAAGGCGGCGTATCCTGGTTTGATCCGAAACTCTAGAATGAGAAGTAGCATCTCAGCCACCATGCGATGGCCAAGAAGAAACAGGATGAAAGTTTTGCGTATTGTTGGGAACAAGTAGACGGCAAAAAAGGTCCAAAGCTGTCTGAGAACATAGTTTCTCATAGTCGACGCAGATTCCATTACTTGCTCAGATACGCTCAGACTTCGCTTCGGCCGTGGCCCAAGTCGCCAGGCGTTCTTTTGCAATGTCTGTTCCAGCTCCCACGACCAATTTACTTGGTTGATGATTTTCCGTAGTGCTTTGTCACGGGCCGAAGGGACTCGATTGGAAATAGTGTGTTGCTTCAATTTCTCAACGAGCCTTTGCCTAGCTTCCTTTGCTGACCGCTCTTGTTGCTCGACGAGGTCTTCAGTAGCGTCAACCTTGGCGTCATCCACCATGGAACTCTTGTCTCCAAGAGCCAAGGCAATTGGCTCCAAGGAGATGTACTGCATGCGTTTAGGCTGCGGCCTGTCGTAAAGAATAAGCTGTATGCTGGATGCCTTGGCGCAAGTTATAGTCGGGGTGCGTGAAGAAGGATGATTGATTGCGCAGACCCAAGAAGGGTCGACGGTGACCGTGGCGGTCGAATTCGACACGCCAAGGACGTGCATAGACGAATGCCCGCATAGCTCATATATTCGACCAGGAGAATGAGGGGCACTTCTGAAAAACGATCCTCCCTTGAGGTGATGTTCGACTTCGCTAGCCTGAATGTCGTCAGTGTTTAGCAAAGCAGTCGAGTCATCTCGCGGCGGAAGAAGGACTGACATCTACATCATCCAAGATGGCAATGACAAACACGTCGAGGGTGGAATTCCGCCATCCCACCACCACTCCTGGACGATTGGATTTGCGTATGTCGGTAGGCCAAAATACTCGCATTAAGCCATCATGCTCTACCATGGCCACCAAATCGTCCACAGGAGCGAAGGAACCTTAAAAGGAACCACGCCTCCTAAGTTGCTCTCGAGCAGATACGCCAATCCCAGGCTCCCGCGGATGCTGTAAAATCGACACACATTAATAAAACAGTCTCGAGATGTGCCGAGTACACAAGGGCCCAATCATACCAAGAATGTCTCCTTTCTGGCCACCCAAACAACAGGTATGAAGATGGTGAGAAATAAAGCAGTCAAAGCAACGACGCCCTTGGCAGCGCGAATCTGTAAATCAAATCCAAGCCGAGTTAGCCAGTGACATACAATGGTAGGCAGCTCCTCCTCAGCAGAGCACTTGTAGCATACCACAACTCCGTATTCCGCTGCAAAAATGGCGAGCTCATAGAGACGGGTGACGAGATCCCAACGCGCGGTGATGTAGCCAGCTACAAAGATGCCGAGGGTGAGGATGGAAAACGGGTGCATAGAGCGCTATCGGTTCCGGCAGCGCATGTCGCAAGACACGCCAGACACTTGGAATCAAGACTTGGACTGGGACGATGGGGGAGGAGGAGGCTGCGGCCGTTCCACGTTGGCACGGCGATTCGCTGGGGATAGCTTCGATGTTGGCTTGGCGCAACGGAGCTTGGGGATGAGCCGGCAATGTTCGCTCGTGAGGGCGTTTCGCAAGTCGCCGGGAGGGCAATTGGAGGACTTGGCTGGCGTTGTTGGCCGAGGCGTCGGGAGCTCAATGTCACACAGGGTGGTAAATCTGCTTGCGCGTTGTTGGCCTCTCCTTGGAGCTTGGATTTCCTGATGGGCATCCCTGTCACGACAATTGGGTCTGGAGGTGACGAGTGGGGCAGCCTTAGAGGTACCTTGGTACCAGTCCAGTGCCGAGGTGCGCAATTCCAGGCCGGTACCCCGGTACTTGAGTGCTCTGGAGCTATGTGCCCGTGTCCAGCTCCGCCCAACCATCGTCCAATGTTTCCCGCTCCATTTGATGGCGTGCGGCCAACTTGGACCAGACCTCACGTTTCCATTGCAGAGGTGAAAGCAGAACCAGAACTCCCTGCACGGCTTGATTTCATGAGATGCCTACCGAGTACAAGCAGCTCCTGGAAATCTGTTTCCATAATGTAGAATTATAAATAGACGTGCCAAGCACAAAATTGTGTTACTACCTACCTAGGTAGGTAGGTAGGTAGTTACCTGGGTACTTGGGCACTCGACATTATTCATCAGCAGAAAACGAATTCTCGAAAGCGGATTCAGCGCAAGCTCTAAGATTCAAAACGCACTCGAGTACGGATTTGAGAAGCATAATGCTATGAATCGCGATACGAGGGTTTTTACTTCCAATCTACGCCCTCCTCCCTACTTACTTAAGTAAGTAGTCGACGGCATACTATCGATATTGATCCTGCCATCAATGCCAAGCATCGAGTGCTCAGTGCTCCGTTGCACAGCAGTTAGGATAAGCTGGTGCTTCAATTGCTTGCGGCTGACCGTGGTTGCCCTTCAATGTTGGGTTTGGACGTCACCAAGTGCCAAGTGCCAAAGTGCCACAAGTACTCCGTACCTCTTAGCACAAAGTGCACCTGAAAGCACCTTGGTTCAATCGCCATGCAGACCCACAAATACAAATAGCTTTTGACGTCCCAAATGTCTTGAGACAACAAACGGCTCGTCAACAGGGATCATTCCATCTCCCCACCGTCCGCGAACCACTGGCGGCTTCCGTCTTTTCGTCTTTTGCGACAAGCTTCACTGGCGCGCACAATTACGCGTTGAAACTCGGAACCACCCATAGTCACCAAGGCTGCTTTTATTCCAGAGGTCTTATCAACACATTGCACTTGCGCCATTGCAGCTCCGGATTGCTGAGCTTGTGCTCGTCTTTGCATTTCGGCCAATTGGATCTCAATTGCACGCAGCATGGCGCCGTCAACCAACCAGCTTGAAGAAGCTCTGATCAACGGCACGTACCATGTGTTCACCGCCGAGCCTGATGCGACAACGGTAAACAAAGTGCGGAAGCATGTTGAAGAGTCAATGGGTCTGGAAGAAGGTTTCTTCACGAGCGACGACTGGAAACAAAAGAGCAAGGCTCTGATTAAACAATATGTTGTAAGTGGCAGCTCCCCGCTCTGCCCGCTTGATTACGCGCGGTGCAACCTGCTAATTTTAGTTTTCTTCATTCTTTTTGGGGCACAGGACAAGCTGTTAGATGGCTGGTTGCCAGAGTCGAAACAGGAGAGACAATCAGAAAATAGAAACAAGCGAGACGCTTCTGAGGGATCCCCGTCATCCCCAAAGCCACAGAAACACGCCGCCCAGAATGGCCAGCACACGACGCAAAACGAGGAACCCCACGGAAGCGATAAAGAGGCGAAATCAAAATCGAAAAGAGTGACATCCGGTCGCCATTCTCGGACGGTAGACTTGGCGAAAGATTCGAGCGACAATCTAGAGCCACCCCCGCCCAAAAAACGAAAACAGAAAGGCAATGGTGCATCAGCAAAAGCACAGAAGGATTCGCCAATGGATGGCGAGGAGGATGATTCCAAAGACGATGCAATGTCCTCGATAGAAGTCGAAGTTTCAAACTCTGCCGTGAATGAAGAGGAAGAGTACTCGGATGTCATTGACGAGGTGCCGAAGCCAAAGCGAAAGAAGAAGGAGCGAAAGGACTCATCGCCTAAACTGGCCAAGCCCAAAGCGAAGAAGACCACCGAGTCAACACCTGACGATCCCGATGAAGCTGAGATCAAAAAACTTCAATCACAGCTAGTCAAATGCGGAATCAGAAAATTGTGGCACAATGAGCTCAAGAAGTACGGAGACGACGCGAGAGCCAAAATTCGCCACCTCAAGAAAATGCTTGCAGAAGTCGGTATGGACGGCCGTTTCTCCGAGGCAAAAGCGCGCGAGATCAGAGAAACAAGAGAACTCTTAGCCGAAGCAGAGGCGGCACAGGAGATGAATCGTTTGTGGGGGACGGGCACAGGCGGCCGCGCGAGTCGAAGTAAGAACAAGTCGGCCAAGGTCGAGGAAAGTGGAGATAGCGAGGCCGAAGACGCCGGCGGCAATGGCAGCACAGATGACGAAGATGAAGAGGAGGGTACTTCATTTGCGGCTAGACGCAGACGTGCTCAGGCTGACCTGGCGTTTCTTGGAGATGACAGCGGATCTGATGAATGATGTGACTTTAGCCGAAGGTAATGTACGATTGGCAGTGATGTTGGCGGACGTTTGAGTTCCTGTTGAAAGGCAACAGACACAAGGTTTAGGAGCCTGATTTACATGTATTACATATGATATGTGTTGACTTTCGTGGCATAAGGGAGTTGGCGATGCATTTTCTGAGGGTGTATTTCGGAGGGAGCCATTATCGGCGGGAAGGGGAAAAATGTGTAATTTAAGCAGGCTGTATGGCTTACATGGTTTCCCTAGTCAGACCACGCCTTGTATACAATTCTGGAGCCATACGTCTCGCCCCTTTTCAACATAGTCATGCTCTTCCAGTCAGGAACATTGACAGCATTCACCCATCGGCCAGGCTCGCAGCAAAAGGCGCTTCGCCCACCCTTTGCAGAAGCTCCCTCGACAGCCGGCACATTCGTAAAGTCCCCAGTGTAAAACTGGAAAGAGGGCTCGGTGCTCAGAACTTCCAGATGGATTCCAGTCCGGGGATGATGCGCTGCTAAATCACGGACAAGAGGCTGTGAACGAGTGTCAATGGGCACAGAAGCCGGGTCCGCAGTTTTGGTAAAGCAGTTGTCCACCTGGGGATCGGTAGCTCCAAGAGTGAAGGGCTGCGTCGTGTCAATGCTGGCATGGGGAACCGGTCCGCCTGTAGGGACGGAGAATTCATCATTGGGTAGGAGGAGCTTGGAACCCAAGGTGACAACAGTCCCCTCGATATCCGCGCTGCCCGTGAGGTTGAAGTACGAATGGTTCGTCAGGTTGATTGGCGTCTCGTCCGCGCCGTCGACCAATTCGGCCTCGTATTCAATCCCCAGAAGGAGAACCTCTTTGCCGTCGACGACCTGCGTACCCGTCGTGTAAGTGACCTTGGCCTCGACGGTGCCGGGGAAGCCCTCGTCTCCGTCCTCGCTGACAAGAGTGAAGGTGACGCTCTCTCCGCCTTGGAGACCTTGCACCCCGGGAATCTGTTTGATGCCAACGGGCGCGGGGCCCTTCCAGATGCGTTTACCCCAACCTACATTGCCGCCGTGCAGGGTGTTGGGTCCGTTGTTGGCGGCCAAGGGGTAGACTTTACCGTTGACGCTGTTGAGCTGAGCGCCCTTGATGCGGTTGGCAACACGGCCAATGGTCTCGCCAAAGTAGGCCGTGTTGTATTTCACGTACTGCTCTTGGGTGGGAAATCCAAGAACGATGTTTGTATCGTTGACCTTGATGGATTGTATGATGGCTCCCAGGGGGAGGAAGGCGAACGGAGCATCTGGCATATTGGAGGTGTCTGGTGGCGCAAGCCAAGGAGCGGGAGATGACGTGACAAAGGAGTGGGATAATCAGTTCCTGCCTGATCTGAGACTTCGAGTCGATATGGGTGGTAGATATTGTTAAATACTTGGTATGTAAAAATTTAATGGACTTGAGTACCTCGTGGACTTATGGGTAAATGGGCTGGCGGGTAAACTGATTGTGGTGACAGGCACGACTGTTCAGGAATCAGGCTGTTATGAACGTATTATATAGGCTGAACAAGTGTCGAACTCGATGCAGACATGCACGACCCTACGACATCAAAGTACCCGCAATTTGCTCCTGTGTGCTCGTCGTACAATGGAGCGCTTGAGCACGCGCTGCAGATTACCTATTGCCTGTGCACAATGTGTCAATGGTGTTTGTTGAAGCACTCGCCATCATGGATGCCACCCTGCAAGCGGGGAAGGTGGTTGTTCAACAAAGTCCGAGAGAGATGGCGGCCAGAGTGGAATCTCCTGCATACACTGATGGGTGAAGTATACTTAAGTACCTAATGCCAGGTTTGGCCGTCATGGTGACAAGATAGACAAACTGCGGCCCGCCCCAGCCAGATTTTGTACCTTCCAAGGCTCTTACTGCCAAAGATACGCCGTTGGAACCAGACGTTTTTGGATGATACCTTGGTCCTTGGTGCACATGCATGATGGCTGCTGCCGTCGGGCTGTTCAAATGCGCTAAGTCTGTTCAATGCTCAACCGACATGTGCGTATACATACCTTAATCAAACATTTGAGTTGGCAACACAATGCAGCCTCCGATTCTAATTCATTTTCTTTGACTTTTCCACAAAAGTCTCTGTCCAGCCACCAGATCTAGGACAGAGTGTTTTTTCTTTATTCTTTTTTCCCCCCATATACCATAAATACATATGTACTGGCTTGATGTCCCACCAGCGCACTCATCGCATCGTCAACCTACATCTCTTCATCGCAACTCGCCTATCATGGATGCACCTACTCCAAAGGCAACGCCAAAACGAAAACGCTGCGGGAACATCTCCCTGAGCCCAGTCAAATTCTCTTTTAATCCATCGACTGCCGAATCTGCCGACGATGGAAGTAATAGTCCACGGTCCAAGGTTGCGCATCGATTTCGCGGTCTGGCTCTTGGAAGTGGGGGCGGGGTTGTAAATGACCACGACCACGAGGCAGACGTCGGGGATGGCCCAGACTCTGCGCGGAAACGACAAAGGCAAGATGAAGTCGTGGCCAATGCCGGTGAAGAAGATTTTCAGCCGGGGGCAGATTCTCCTACACCACGGTCAAGTCAAGCCTTCGGTTCTGGGCTCAACGCCTTCGCCGAGCACCTCGCATCTCAGACTCCAACGTTGGTAGCGGCTGTTCCAGAACCAGAAAACAAACCACCCCGTCGAAGAAGGGCTGGTACACCACCACTTAATATGCACAAGTCACCTAAGAAGGCCAAGAAGGATGACGTAGAAGCGAGCGAATCACCCTTTGCTGATGAAGATGACATTATCGTGGATTCGGTCAGGGCGGCCCTCACATGGCACGAGGATGAAATCACCGTTTACGACCCCTATGACAAGGACGACGATGGTACCGGCATCAACGGAGTGGGTTTCAAGCCAACACCCGCCATGGCAGAAGCAAGAGCCGTTCGCAGACGACATCAGATGGCTGAGTATCGGAAACGGGAAGAGAATGAGGCTAGAGCTAGGCGCAGTCAGCGACGAAGAGGAGAAGAACCCCCATCCGCTCGGCTGAAAAAGAAATCACCTTCGAGAAAGGTCAGATTTGTGGATTCAGAAAGGCAGAGTGCTGTTGTGATAACATGATGGGCTACGACATGACGAGAACACTGATCGTGCTCCTCTATAACGAATGGTATGACCTTGCTGGGCTGGGCGTTGACGGGTGGGTTTTATTGGGCTTTTCTCTATTCTTGTGACACACCTGAAGGGTATTTCTGGCGGGAAATCGGAGTTTACACAGCCATGCTTGACACTTTTCTTTTCTTTACTTTGATTCGAGCGGTTTTCCAGGATGCAAAGCTAGGGGCATTGCCATACTGCTTCTCGTGCAATGCGACACTCTAGAAATAATAGCATTCTTGTTCTTTTCGGGTATTAATCTTGAAATTAGCATCTACAAGCATCTACAAACACTTGCTAGGGTCCCATGTTGTACATCATTTTATACAGATGATCCAAGGATCGATGATATCATGTCACCAAAATTTGTACCAAGGCTTCTGCGCCGCCGCCATCCGCTCTTGTTCCAGTTGTAGTTGTTCCTTCTTCCCCTCCGCCGCCTTTCTAGCCTGCTCTCTCTTATTTTCTGACACTACTTCGATGTGACGCTTCATTTGTATTCGCTCGGCTCGTCGGAGGTATTGGCAGTACTCGTACGATGCCGTACTTCCGAGTATAAACATCCCGACAGCCCAGTTCGCCGCCTTGACGGCATTGCCTGCAGGCAGAATTGTCAGTGCATCCCTAGCTGGTGAACGAGATTGGCAAGATGGGTGGTCCTTACCCCTCAGGACGAACCTCAATCCGCCAACACCGGCGCCAGCAGCAATACCAGCCAGGAATCCTTGCCTGGCGCACGGTGTATTGTGAACTTTGGTAAAGTCCTCCGTCTTGATCATACCGACTGCATCCGCAATCGTCGGCCTAGCATTATTCGTCGTCTTGTCGCCTCCTAGGCTTTGCGACTCGTCGGGCTGTTCTATAGGTTTTGACCAGACATGCAGGGTCTTTTGGTTTGCGCCTGGTTGCGCATTTTCGACATTGGGTGCCATCCCTGGCTACCTCCGCAGATCAATTGATATCATGAATTAGGGAGCCAAATATCCAAGCTACCAAAGTGCCCAGGGTACCGGGGATGTCACTAATTTGTCGTTGTGGTCGAGTGCCGATGACGCCAGGAGCAGTTCTGATTTCTTGCGATTGAACGGCCTGATTGTATGTATCCTCATGTGGCGCCTTTTGTGGCACAGTTGCGGGTTTCCACTGGTGTGGCTGAAGCTGCTAAATTTCCATTAAACTTGTGGATCTCGACCGTGTCGCGCATGAACGCGCTCTGGCGCGTCTCCCTTGAGCCGTGCTGCGATTGTTACTCTATTTGCTCTTGTTGGTCATCCATTTGGCCCCAGAACTTGATAGGCGGACATTAGACCTGTCCCATCCCACTCGATTTTGATTATACAAAACACGCCAAAGACAACCCAATTCTGATCATCGTGGCCTCCCATGATTACCTTACCAGCAGCTCGAGCCGCCAATCTTTCATAACTAGGGTTGAGGCTCCTCGACACATAGCAGTCATAAGATGCCCAACACAAGCCTACGGAAACCACAGAAGGGTTTCCGCCGAGGCGGCAAATCTGCCTATCACGGTCAACGGACTCGTACATTTGCCGCTACCTCGAGAGCAGAGGGAACTTCGGCAGATGAGAAATGGGAACGGACGAGGCTCGCACAAACGATAGACGAAAACTTCGGCTTCGGGAGATACGAAAGTGGAAAGAAGAAGGAAGGCTGGCTTGTCAATGTTCAGCCCACCGCCATTGAAGATGAGAGGATTCCCGGCGGAAGGGCGGCACTTGATTGCTACTTCATTGAACATGATGGTGCAACATTCAAGGCGACTGTCGAGTACGATCCTTACTTTCTGATTGCCGTCAAGAAGGGCCACGAATCCGAGGTGGAGGAATGGATCAAGCGGGTTCCTGGCGACGGGTGTATCAAAACCATTCGCAGAGTAGAAAAGGATGACTTGAACATGCCTAACCACCTGCTGGGTTATCGGCGGACCTTTTTGGAACTCAAGTTTGCCAATGTATCAGACCTCATGGCTGCCAGGAGGGATATTATGCCTGTGGCTGAGAAGAACAAGAAGAATATGAATGCCATGGACGCATATGCTGAAGTTGTCACGTAAGTTGCAAATGCATGATTTTCTCATGCAACTTGGATGGAGGATTGACATGATATACAGAGCTAATGGCAACTTTGACCTTTTCGATGACGATTTACGAACTGATGAACGAACGAATAACTCATTCGCCGAGGCGAGTGACTACATTGTTGATATTCGCGAATATGATGTACCATACCATGTGAGAGTAATGATAGACCTTGGTGCGTCCTTATCCGTTCTTGTTTCGTTTTGGCCAGTATATTGACAGCGAGACAGATATACGAGTTGGAAAATGGTACTATATTGAGGTTAAGCACGGAGCAACCAAAATTTTGCCCAATGAAGACCGATCGCTTCCCGCGGATCCAGTTGTTTTGGCATTTGATATTGAAACAACCAAACTCCCCTTGAAGTTCCCCGACGCTGCCATTGACCAAGTCATGATGATTTCATATATGATTGACGGCCAAGGGTTCCTAATCACAAATCGAGAAATCATTTCCGAAGACATTGGCGATTTTGATTACACCCCGAAGCCAGAATATCCCGGCCCGTTTATGATCTTCAACGAACCAAATGAGAAGGCTGTTATTGAGCGTTTCTTTCTTCACATAAAAGAAGCCAGGCCAACCGTTATCGCGACTTACAACGGCGACTTTTTCGATTGGCCTTTTGTTGAAGCGAGAGCGAGCGTCAATGGTATCGATATGTACCAAGAGATCGGGTGGAAGAAGGACAGTGAAGATCAATTCAAATGCAATTACGGAGTCCACATGGACTGTTTCCACTGGGTCAACCGTGACTCTTATTTGCCACAAGGTTCTCGTGGTCTGAAGGCTGTCACGGTTGCAAAATTAGGATATGACCCCGACGAACTCGACCCAGAGTTGATGACACCCTATGCCAGTGAAAGACCACAGACCTTGGCCGAATACTCAGTTTCCGATGCTGTTGCTACGTATTTCCTCTACATGAAATACGTTCACCCTTTCATCTTCTCTTTGTGCACCATTCTTCCCCTGGGTGGTGATGATACACTTAGAAAAGGTACTGGTACACTGTGTGAGATGTTGCTCATGGTCCAGGCATATCAGAAGGAAATCGTGCTCCCTAACAAACATCAGTCTCCCAAGGAAGCATTCTGGGATGGCCATCTTCTAGACTCGGAAACATATGTCGGAGGACACGTTGAGAGTATCGAGGCAGGTGTCTTCCGAGCGGATATTCCAGTGGATTTTGCCGTCGACACAGGTGCTATTGACGAATTGCTGCGCGATATAGATGCTGCGCTAAAATTCGTTATCACTGTGGAGGAGAAGAAGTCACTAGCTGATGTTGAGAACTACGATGAGGTCAAGGAACAAATTGTTGCAAAGCTGATGAAACTCAAGGAAACACCACACCGACGGGAACGGCCACTCATCTATCATTTGGACGTCGCATCCATGTATCCTAACATCATGACAACAAACCGACTACAGCCAGATTCTATGATTGACGAATCAGATTGTGCGGCTTGCGATTTCAACCGACCGGGAAAGACATGTGACCGAAGATTGCCCTGGGCCTGGAGAGGCGAGTATCTTCCCGCCAAGCGAGACGAGTACAACATGATTCGACATGCTTTGGAAAACGAGAAGTTTCCCGGCAAGACACCTCAGGCGCCAATGCGCACATTCGCAGATCTGAGTGCCGATGAGCAAGCCTCTCTGGTACGGAAACGACTCCAAATATATTCGCAAAAGGTGTACCACAAAATCCACGATTCCACTACCATTGTACGTGAGGCCATCATTTGTCAGAGAGAGAATCCATTTTACATCAATACCGTACGAGACTTTCGTGACCGACGATACGACTATAAAGGAAAGGCCAAAGTATGGAAAGGCAAAACCGACTCACTCAAATCCTCCGGCGCGAGTGCAAGTGAAGTTGACGCGGCCAAAAAGATGATCATCTTGTATGATTCTCTACAGCTGGCTCACAAAGTCATTCTGAACTCGTTCTATGGTTATGTCATGAGAAAGGGTTCGCGATGGTATTCCATGGAGATGGCTGGTGTTACGTGTTTGACTGGTGCAACAATTATCCAGCTGGCACGACAGCTTGTGGAACGATTGGGAAGACCTCTGGAACTTGACACTGATGGTATTTGGTGCATGTTGCCGGCAACATTCCCCGAAAACTTTGCCTTTAAACTGAAAAACGGAAAGAAGCTCTCCATCTCATATCCCTGTGTTATGTTGAATCATCTTGTCCATGACAAGTTCACAAATCACCAGTATCAAACTCTTGTAGACCCGAAAACGTTCAAGTACGAGACTCACAGCGACAACTCGATCTTCTTCGAGGTCGACGGCCCCTACAAGGCAATGATTTTGCCAACATCGAAGGAGGAAGATAAGAACCTGAAGAAGCGATACGCAGTCTTCAATGACGATGGTAGTCTTGCTGAATTGAAGGGATTTGAGGTCAAGAGACGCGGCGAACTAAAGCTCATCAAGATTTTTCAACAGCAAATCTTCAAGTTCTTCCTGGAAGGCGAAGATTTGACACAGTGCTACAGCGCCGTCGCCAAAGTTGCAAATCGATGGCTCGATGTACTACACAACAAGGGATCAACCTTGGCCGACGAAGAGCTCATGGAGTTGATTTCGGAGAACAGAAGCATGTCCAAGACGCTGGAAGAGTATGGGTCACAGAAATCGACCAGTATCACCACGGCCAAACGTCTTGCCGACTTCTTAGGCGAGCAAATGGTAAAGGATAAAGGTCTCAATTGCAAATTCATCATCTGCGCACGACCACGCAATGCCCCGGTTACCGAACGTGCCGTCCCAGTTGCCATCTTTTCTGCCGAAGAGTCCATCAAGAGGACATATTTGAAGAAGTGGCTTAAGGAGGAGCCCACCAACACGGACCCAAGAGCTCTCCTGGACTGGGATTATTATCTGGAGCGTCTTGGTTCAGTTATTCAGAAGCTTATCACTATCCCCGCTGCTTTGCAAAAAGTTCGAAATCCAGTCCCGCGAGTGCCTCACCCTGACTGGCTTCAGAGACGTATTAATATCAAGGATGACAAGATGAAGCAAAAAAAGCTGACAGATTTGTTTACGAAAGAGCCTCTTGCAGACATTACAAATACCAATGGCTCTCGAATGGAGGACTTGGAGGACTTTGGGAATAAACTTCTCAAGCCAAAGCAAGTCAGTGCAGCAGTTGCCTCCTCACAGCCTGCACCGACAGTTCAAAAACGCAAATCCCCGGAACCTTCTGAGAACACGGACCCCATGGCTGCATTACCTAAAGTCATGCCGAATCCGTCAGAAAACTACCCTGCCTTTTTGAAGTATCAGAAGCAGAAGTGGAAGCTGCAGAAACAAGCTCGTATTCGCAGGCGACAATTGTTCGGCGACAGGAGAGGCCTGACTGGCAACAACATTCAGCAGTCATTTATGAGACAAGCACACGTCACTTTCATGAATACTTGGCAGTTGCTTCACCTGCAGGCTACTGACAGCCCTGGCGTTGTAACTGCTCATGTTTTGATTGATGCCAAAATTCACGCTGTGAAAGTCAAGGTTCCTCGACAAGTCTTTCTGAATCTCAAGGGCAGCGAGCTTCCTGATGTTGATATCGCGGGCTGCGAGGTTGAGCAGGTTAATTACACTCTTCCAAACGGCCACCCTTCAAGCCATCTCTTTAAACTTACTGTTCCAGAGGACGTGTACTTCAGTGAAGCTGCCAAGTTCTCCCTGCTGTTCAATCACCCTAGCGTGGAAGGCGTGTACGAGAAACAAGTACCTCTGAATATCCGGGCTGTTCTCCGTCTTGGAAACCAATGCGTGATTGATGAACAACAGAGTGCTGTGCTTGGCA